AAAAATTGTGTTATATCGGGACGCCTTGTATAGGAGCAACGTTTCTCTTTCGTCTCGTCGTACTATTACCGTATCTGATAAACAGCGTAAATAGGGCAGAAAATAGTATAGATAATTAAGATTATTGAAACGCCGGTGACTTCTCTGCGCTACCCGATACAACATCAAAACCGTACTCCGCACTGTCGTGTGGTAGGCCGATGCGGTCGCTTTAATGGTATGCAAATTACCAGGTAAATTTCGCGCGCGAGCTTTGTCGAATCGGAGGGCGGGAGGGGATATGGACAAAATTGAAAGGGTTGGCCCGGGGTGATTGTTAAAAAACAAATGCGAAACACGGCCACGCGACTGCCCCTCCCTGCTCCCCTCGATTAATTACGCTAATGGAAACATTTTCGCAGCATTCGGACTGCTGCAATAGTCGCCGATCGATATAATGCATGCGAAGGGTATATCGAAGATGCACGCGGGGAACGACATTTCGATAAGCTCCGTATTTGTGAGCAATTAATTAACAATTAATAAAGAAGTTTATTCGACAGACAGAAAAGAATGCCTTTTTAAAATGGCTATCCAGAAAGAGAGATCGATACGTTTTCAAAATTTTCGTCCGGTGGGAGAGAGACGGCATTTGTGAGGCGTACTCACGAGGTATCTCTGATATCGCGGCATGCGGCATACGAATGTAGATACGTAGAGATACCGGAGCGCCTGGTATCTATTTATAACGGCGACGGATCACAGGGCGATTGACCGCGTGGCCTTGACTTCCGGTTGACCCGACTGTTCCCTCCCTCCTTCGGGAATTTCGGTGTGACTCGCAAAATTTTCCCAAGGCGCTTGGGCACCTACGGATCTCATTCTTCAATTAGGAAGACTCGATGATTATCAGAAATGGTCCTTTATTAGCAATATACCTCCATGAAACAATCTGTATTAGAAGACTGTGTTTATTTTCATTTGCAGCGTTACGTTAACTCCTCTATGGTTAAAATAAAATAAATACATTCAGTCTCTCCTGAAGAAAGGAGAGCAAGGAAAAGTAAAATTAAAAGAGTATATAGAAAATGCGAAAGAACATATTTTGTATCCACGATTTGAACGATTTGACGTGAAAAGATCGTGAAATTTTGCGTCAAGATTAAAGCCGAATTTCAATCACTTTAATATCGATTAGGTAATAGATTAATTAGATAATAATAACAACAAGTAATCTCGAGGTTTGATACAACAAAATAAAAAAAATGAGTGAAAAACTCGACGGCTATACATTATCTAAAAGTCGAACTTGTTGAAAACGATATCGATTTCGATTCCCGGGAATTCTCGGAAATTTTCGGTAATAAGGACGATACCGACGAATGCCTAACTCTGTCTCGCGATTTCGTTATTTATATCAAACGATTCGCCGCGAATGACTCTGTTTAGCTCGCCGTTTCGCGCACACCGCTTCCTTTTTCTTCGTCCCGCGTCTTTCCTCCCTCCTTTTTTTTCATCGTTTTCTTTTTTCCAATCGCTCGGGAACCTGTTCGCACGAGTGGCAGCAACGGAATGTCCCAAGTGCTGCTGCTCTCATCTCAGGCCGATCGAGCGGCTGTGATCGTTCTATACTACGCAAAGATTTCGTTTAGTCTCAAGCGTTTATCAAAGCGTATAGAAGTCTTTGTTTTTGCTTGAGTTTCTTGTCAAATGCCATTATTAAAGACAATTGATATATTAATGGTACAATAGAGTGCAACTGTATACGTCATACGGGATATTATTAATAAATAGTTAACTATATAAAATGATAATTGTATGAGTTAGGTAAATAATATTCATAGTAATAATATCGATATTTACACCGTTAATATTCCAGATTAAAATATCAATTATCCAGACAAGCTAAAAAACAGTGATACGCTTGTTGTTAATTCAGCGGCAATCCTCTTAAGGGTGATTTAACACATATACGCGATGTATAGGCAAAGCGCAAATCAAGCGGCTTCTGGTTTCGCGAACTTAAAAATATACCCAACATTCTCGCGAGAGAGTATTAATTAGTATAAGTGAGAAAGAGAGAAAAGGAGGGAGAAAGTCTATATTTGTAGGAGATCCGCGGAGGAGGATGCCGAGGAACGAAGGCTAACGACCTTGACCTTGTCCGTGATGTGTGGGACTGTGTGCGTTGTGATCACGAGAAAGAGAGAGAGAGAGAAGGACGGTGGAGAAAGAGAGCGAGAGATGCGAAGAGACATCGGTCAAAACTGATGGCCTGCTTTCTTGAGCAGCTCTCGGCAGCACAAAGGCGACGGGAATGAAAGAATCCAGCGAGATTCGAGATGGACGAGACACGATGACTAAGACGGTAACGACGCCGGACGTCCTCGACGAAGATGGGAGCTGAAGCCCTCGCGAGTGGCAAACGACCGCGTTGTGACACATCGCGCATACCGCATTGCTTAAACAGAATAGCGCAACAGAATTCTAGAGAAGCGGCAGAGAGGGGAAAAAGAGAGGAGGGAGAGAGAGAGATTGTCTGACACAGCATTATACACATACAGAGTGTTTTGCGACAATTTTTTCCCACAAGTATGGCAAGTCATTCTGAACTGAGGAACTCGCGGTATCTAATATCTTAGGAATAATTTGTAAGACGTAAACAAGTTACATAGTAACTGCCTGTAGTTCGATATTTTTAATAAGTAACTTGAGCTTCCGTTATAGTTCGATTTTACCCTTAATTTAAAATTCTATCAACAAACATTTTTCGTAGGCTTTCAGATTCACGGTTGAAGACGATTCTATCCATGGTGATTCTATCCATAATACGAATCGGCCTTCGTGACGCGTTACGAGACATCGCGAGAATTGATTATTGAGCCGCGTAAAATAGATCTCAAGGCCGTGTCTCGAGATTGAGCTTCTCGATAGAATAGTCGCGATTACGTCTCTCTCTATCACAAGTATTCGATTGATTCTCCAAGATTTATCTCGAAACTAGTTTCATTCGAGTTCCTCGGTAGAGCCGCAACTGTAAATACGAGCTTTAATAGTTTGACCGAACTGCTGTTTGAGGTAATCGCACATGAACTAGAATATTATTAATTTCTTGTTTAATCGTAACATGTTTCTCCGTTATGATTTGTCTAAAATTGCTGTTATAAATACCGTAAGAAAATTTCAGGTTTTATCAGCACATTTTTATCACTACAACGACTGGCAAATAAATTATTACATAATTCCAAGTTTTTATCCGATTATAATATCCGCTTTGTGATAGGCTTCTGTAAAAAATTCTTTTTTCGCGAATGAAGCGCCATTACCTTATTCGCCTTATTATTCGTCGAAATCTCAATAATCAAGATTAATGTGCGATCCCGATCGTTATCTCCTTCTCGACAATCGCACATTGATTTACTTGCGCGGCATCCAGCTTGTCAATGAGACACGCGGCACACCGGCAAGCGGACGCGAGTCGACGACCGACGAGCGGCGTGGCGCGGGGCGTCGCGTCGGCGGAGAGATGCTGTCCGCACCGAGTCGTGCCGCGTCGCGTCGCGTTGCGTCGCCAGGAAAAGAAGAGAAAATTGCGCGGAAGGGCGGGAGAGGGAGGAAAAATCCAGCCCGCCGACTCCTGACCTCCAGGAGGAGTAGGAGACGTGAGCGAGGTCGTTCTGCGATCGATCGATAAACGCGCTCACGCTCCGCGACCAAGGTGCAAAGGAACTTCGCGTTCGGAGAGAAGGAGAGAGATCGAGAGGGTGAGAGGAGAGGAGAGAGAGGGGTGAGAAAGGAATTGGTAGATAGAGAAAGAGAAAGACGGCAGGATATAGGGAGAGGAGAGATTGCAAGGGGAGTAGGGGGCGCATATGGAGAGGAGGAGATTGAGAAGGAAACCGCCCCTGTCATTTGATAAATGCGATTTCTCTTCATACGCAATGTTGCTAATATACATGTACAAATTTTTCGGAAATATATTTGAAATGACTGATGCATTCGCGCTTTTAATTAATATAATTGACCGAATTATTACTCGTACAAGTGATGCCTATCAAACGTGCGTGATAAAATGCTTATTAATCGAGTGAATTATTCCAACGAAAAATAGAATAATTATTATATATTTTCTGTCATTTTCGTTTTTCAATTTTCCCTTCTTTATGTAGATTCCCATTCCGGAACGGAACAAAATATCATTCTTTATCTCCTTCCTGCCTTTCTCTTTATCACCGACCTTATTTTCATTAGTGAGAAAATAACCGTATTAAAGATATATTCTCTAATATGCTCACGTTTAGGATTCCTTTGATTGAAAAAAAAAATAAATTTCTACTGGCTAGGTACAAAATTTGTTCGGGAGCACCCCTGCAGAGACGGCGAAAGGACCGGAACAATCGATCCTTCGGTCTGCGGAAAGAGAGCGTGAGGGCCGGCTTCTTCCTCTCGCTCTCTTCGTCCCTCTGCCCCCTGTCTCGCTTTCTCCCGACGCGGACGGCTCCGCTTCAGGTAGCCGGCTGCGAATTCCGGAAACTCCCTGAAGAAGTAAACTTTGTACGCGGTCCAAACAAACGAATTGCACAAATGTGAACGGGGATTTAAATAAACTCAGTTACGGAGATTAAAATAAATCTTCGTTAGTTAGGAAAATTTTGTCACGAGCGTGTCTCAGCTGGTATCATACAAAAGATACGACGTACATTCACAGAAATCTATTATCTATTTTTTCATGTTATTGTTGTATTATCAGACGTATTGATTCATGCGCGATTTATCCGTTCGGGCTGGCAATTCGAATGTTTTTTTTTCCGTGTAAGCGAGTAGACTAAACATGCGGCTCGATCTTTGCGTGGCTGCAGTGAATGGATGAGCGAGGGTGAACGTTATATACATACATACGCGCCGCCACCCAACCCTCTTCGATGTTCCTCTCTCTCCTCCGTTCCCTACCTTCATCTACGCGAGCTACATGGCTACTTCTTTACATTTTCACTTTACAAGTTTATTTCAATAATTCTGACCTTTAATTAGCAACAACGTGCCACCGTCCGTCTGGTACTCTCAGGATGGTTCGGCACTTGGCACTTAATCGTTACATTACTCATTGATAAAAGCAGGCATTTCTCATTTCTTCTCCCTATATCTTCTTCCGTGATAGGTACAATAAACGACATTAGACATTTAATCGTTTCTCATCCCAAAGTGAAACCGATCTGTTTTGGGACAGAGTTCAATAAAACTCTCCCGGAGAAGCGCGAACGTAAAGCGTAATGAATGTCTTCCCTCCCTCCTCCGTCCGCCTAGTTCCTTCTATCCTCTCGTCGTCCCGCTCGCGCTCGCTGCATCTTCCCCCTCCACCCACCTACCGTCGTCGCGGCGCTCCGTGCGTTTCGCACGACTGCCAACTGCAGCACGTCGAAGCTCGCCGGTGTGGTCGTCGTCAGTCGTCACCGGTTCCTCCGCGGATTCTCTCTCGCGTCTCGTCGGATCCGGCCATCCTCGTCGCGCCGGCGACGCCTCCCGCTCGTGCTCTCTCGCTCGTGCCCGTGGCCGACTGGAGCGACGCCGATCCTCGTGCGCGTGTGTTGAGTGGCGGTAACGCAGACAGGCGTGGCCGCCGGAGCCCCCGGCGGTTCGGTGCGGCCGATGGCAGCGCCGCCAGTCGGCGACTACCCTCAGTTTCGGGCAAGATGGGCGCACCTCGCCGGGCAGTAGCTTAGTCTCTACCTACAAGACAACACACACACTAAATGTTTCCTATAGTAACAATTAACCAATTGTACATTAATCTTATTTAAGGGAAACACACGGAGGGGAGAGAGAAAGAAAGACATTCACACGCTCCCGTACTACACGCTCTACACGCAAGCTCTATTTTTGTAATAACGCGTAAATTAAAAAGTAGTGTGTGCTCACCCCGCGAGGCAACGCGGTGTGTGTAATTTGTACGACCGTTGAGATAGGGAAGAAGAAGAGCCCCCGGTTTTCCCGGTTCTATCGTGGAAGAGAGGCGGAGAAGTGGTACGCGCGAGAGAGAGAAACGCGCCGCGCGGGAAAACGAGAAGAACGGTAACGGCAGAGAACGCGAGGAAGTACGTGAAGGAGGAAGAGGGTGTTGGAGAAAAAAGGAGCGGCCGTTGTGTGTGCGTATGTGTGCCGTGCGCGCGTGTGCTCTGCAGAAGCGACGGCTAGTTTAGCCGAGTGATCGTCGTGACGGCCGGGACGGCAACGACAACGTCGACGTCGAGAGTGACCGAGGTGCGACAGGGACGCTCCGTTAGTCTCGTTCCCCGCGGGAACGGAGCGACGACGAGGAGAGAAACGAGGATCGTCCTCCCGGCGATCCACGGCGGCTTCGTGCCATTCGTGCCGACGCCGCCTCCAACAACCGCTTCAACGCTCGGCGACGGTGGCGGCCGGGCAGCAGCGGCAGCACGCTTGAAACGAGTAAGCGGCCGATAAGCGGCGCGGCGCGGCGCGACTCGCTTCTACACCGAGGTGCAGGTTTACGGTCGGTCGCGGCGCCGTTAGTCTCTCCGTTTCGCGGCGCGGTGCGGCGCAGCGTGGCGCAGCCAGCGTGCGCTCTTTCTCTCTCTTCTCTCTCTCTCTCTCTCTCTCTTTCTCTCTCGCTCGCTCGCTCGCTCGCTGTTTCTTTTCTTCTCCGGGGAAATCCTCGTCGGGTGTGTGCAGTGCGTGCATGCGTGGCGTGCGTGCGTACGTGCGTGCATTCGTCCGTTCGATCGTTTTCTTCGTTCGTCCGTTTGGTACGTGTGTAGAGTAATGAAAATCGGCGACGGCGACGCCGCCGCCGTCGTTGTCGAGCGACGAGAAAAAGGTGCGCGAGCGGCGAGAGTGTAGCAACGAGCGACCAACCGACCGACCAACAGACCGACCGATCGACCGGCCGCCGGTGCGTACTGTGCGGTAATTTAAAGCGATTAAAGTGTGGTAATCGGTGAAAAGTGCGCTTCCACACGATCACGACACACCCTTTTGACATCCGTCGCTCGCATCGCCATCGGCTCGGCAGCGGCCTCTCTCTCTCTCTCAGCCCCTTCCTCTTTTTCTCTATCTTCCCTTTCTCTCCCTTTCGTCTCGTCATTCCATCTCACTTCTTCCTCCGCACACTCGCAGAATCGCCAACGTACGTGCTATCTCTCTCTTTTCGTCCCCTCCCCTCTCCCGCATTCTTCTTCGTCTCTAACCGTACACACGTTCGCTCTTTCTCCCGGAGGTACTCTCTCTCTCTCTCTCTCTCTCCTATCTTTCGTCTTTCTCTATACTGCGCAAAGTGATTTATCATCACGACGGATTTCGTGACGAGGACGGTGACAACGACGACGACGATGACGATGATGACAACGACGGTGACTGGCCCGCGTTAAAGCCATACCATAGATACGGTACGGTACGATCATTCCCTACCCTCTCCACTCCCTCCTACGCCGCCATTGGGCCATCCCTCGTCGCTGCACGCCGAGCAGCAGCGTCTCGCCCGGTATTCTTACACTACGTCGCCGGCCTCACACACGTACCCTCTTTTCTCGTTTCTCTGTCTTTCTTTCTCTTACTCTCCGCTTTACTCCGGTTTCCACCGGCGCGACCGATCGGGAGAGAGTATACGAATTCGCGTTTAGTGATCTATCTGTCTGTCTGTCTGTCTGTCTGTCTGTCTGTCTGTCTGTCTGTCTGTCTGCCTGTCTGTACGTGCGTGCGTGCGTGCATGCATATGTGCGTGCGTGCGTACGTGTCGTGCCCAGCACGCTACAGTGTGTGGTTTTTCTCTGCTCAGTTGTCCCATCAGTGTCGCCGGTGAGCGTGGAAACTCGTCGCGCGGTGTTGCAGTGCGGCGGCAAGTGACGACGTCGTCGGCCGCGAGCGGGCGAGGACGTACGAAGGAACGGCGAGGAAACGCCGACGAACGAGAGAGGAAGAGGCGGCGGAGGAGGAAGCGGCGGCTGTGCGGGAGGTAAAAAAGGAGGAAGAGGAGGAGGCGGAGCAGGAGGTGAAGGAACCAGAGTGGCGGCGCGAAAGCGACCGGCGGCGACGGCTGACGGTGGTTTTTAGGCTGCGCAGCGTCGCGCCGGCGTATTTTGTTATTGTTATTATCATCGCGGCTGTAGCTGTGCCGTCCATCGACGACGGGCGACGTGACGGATTCCTCTACTTACTACAGCAGGAGCCACCTCGGGGTCGCGACCATGTCCGTGAGAATGGAAAACGTGGCCGCGCGGAAGATCAATTATAAAATGATGGTGAGTACATGCATACGTGATTGCTGCGACACACGCACACAACACACACGCTCGTTCTCTCTATCTCTCTTTCTCGTCCGATCCTCTCAGCCGATCGACGGCGACGGAGGGTGCGCAGTGCGCGTGCAACTCGCTGCTTACTCCGCGCAGCTCCGTCGTGCGCGCGAGCGCGTGCTAACGTGGCGTGCGCGACGACGAGCTCTCGATGCCGCGCGTTCACGCTTCTTTGTATCCCTCGCCTCTTCCATCTTCCCTCCTTTCTCTCATCCGTTATCACGTTCGTGTTTCACGGTTTACGGTAATCGCCCGTCCATCGCGATGCCTTTCGACACATTTCTTTTCCCTGCAGGCCCAAAGACCTTTCCATACCGAAACATCTATTTCTTTATAGAACGTATCGCCAATTCTGGGAAAATGATACCTGCTTCGCACATTTGCCTAATTTTTCTCGCTTCTATCCCCCCCCCCCCCTCTCTCCCAAGGGACGCGTAATCACGATTTATTGTCCAGTTACCTTGGCATTCGCCTCTTGTTCCTAACGAAGGTACAGAATATTTTCTCATTGAAAGTTTTTTGTGCACGAGGTGGCGGAATCGGGAATCGAATCCGGGCTTGAGAGATGACAGTTCTGCCATTAAACTACCCATATCTCTCGACCCATAAATAAATACTCATTCAGAGCACGAAAAGTGTGGTATATCGTAGGCAAAGAACCGCCTAACCTAACCTATAATAATCTAGTCTCTCTTTTCCTCTCTCTGATCTCTCTCTCTCTCTCTCTCTCTCTCTCTCCACGATATGCTTTCCCAAAGTCGCGTTTTCGCACGCGTGCAAGAGCGCACCGCTCGTCGCTCGTGTCTCCGCCGAAAACGTCTGGGAACGCTCCTGCGCGCGCGCGAGCGCGCGCACGTAGTCGCGGAAAAGCTATGGTGGAGTTTTAATCATGGGGGCAGCCGACGGCGACGAGGACGGAGGACGGCTTGCGGAACCGCCGGTGTAGTTTGACAGTTTGCCGCGGGGCGTCTGGCTGCTGCCCCACCCAGTCATCTCTTTCTCTCTCTCGCTCTCTCCCCCGCCTGGTCTGTCCGTCCGTCCGTTCGTCCGACCGTCCGTCCGTCCATCCATCCATTCGTGCCTCTTTCGACCGTCTCACTATGCTTGCCGTAACTCTCCCCCCATGCTATCCGTTCTGCGTTTTCTCTTTTTCTCTCCGCCGCGCTCCTCTTTCGCTCTCGCGAACACTCAATCCGAGTTCCTTTCGGCTACACGGTTTTTTCTTTTTTTTTTTAATCCTGAGTATTAGCGCGGTTCTATAAACTCGACATCAAAATTGCACGTTTAGATATCACACATTTTTTGGAAGATTTTATTTATCTCTTTCTTTCATACAGCTTAAACGCTAGTTAGAATCTACAGTAAATCTGTTTCAAGATAAATGAGTATTTGTTTTATTGATCAAGATTACGCCGACATCCGTTAAGCCCTATTGACTCACAGGGTTCTCTATCGCTACTGTCTATTTTCTTAAAAAATAATCAGAAAAGTGGGAACATTCTTCTTTTAAACAAAAGATATTCTTTTTATTGTTCCATTACTCAAGTGGACTGATACACAAAAAGCTTGTACCTCTCTAAGTTCTACCATTAGCAAGCATGTCATTATTATCTAAAATGTGTTACTGATATAAATTGTGGAATGTCAAACGTACACGAGCAAAAGTGTTGACCTTTAAATCGAAACATTTTTTTTCTTATGAAAAAATAAATACAATAACGATAAAAGAAAGTATATATAATTATATATTGCAGATTTGTATATTAATATATCTATACATTTCCGAAATTCGTTAAAGTTACAAAATCATCAATTATAGAATAAATCGATAAATGAATGTTTAACTTGGCCGTGAATTAATTAAAACTACTTTTACGTTGTATACTTCAGGAAAAATGCGTTAAGAACTCTTAAAGAGATTCCCATGTTTTATAACTAAGCACACATATTTACAAGGGCCAGCATAAATTTCGTTAAATATATTTTCTTATTTCTCATATTTTATAAGTAAAAGCGGGAGATCGACGAAGTCGTGCGGAATTAGCAATGTGAGCGTTATTGATATTTCAAAAATGCGACATGGTGTAGCATTTGTGGCAAGGTAATTTCGAAGTGAGCGTTAGAACGAACTGGGTGAGAACAGAGCGAAGAGAGGGGAGGGGAGGTCGAAAAAGATGTCTGGAAAGGCATGCGTCTCGTTAGACGAGAGTAGGAATTCGGCGACGGATAGTATGTGTTGCAAGTTGCAACGGCGTTCTCTCGGTTGTACAGGTTGCTAATTTTAGTTCGGAACCTGAGAAGCCAAATGCTTAGAAATTCAATGAGCAGTCCGCTGTCCCTTGGCTGACCAGTAATTAATCCTTCAGAAACTCGGAAGTTGATCCGAAATATCGGCAAAGTCATCGTAAGACTCAGCAAGTTCTTATTAAAAAAAAAACTATTATTTTAAAATTTTTATATTGAGAAGCAAATTTTAACAATAGAGTACTGTGGAAACGGCACGCGAGATGTTCATGTTTACCCTCGCATTTAACGCAACTCATCGTCGTCGTCGTCATCGTCGTCGTCGTCATCTTCGTCGTTGATCATCGTGGTCGTCGTCGAAGAGAGGTTATCGCGCGCGATGAACGAGTTCAAGCTACTTTGCCGTGATCGTCGAGAAGAGTCATTGTACAAAACAGCTGTTCATCTCTCGCGGCGACGACTTCTGTCTCGATTTAGATTTCTTTTATGTGCGGGATTTTTGTCTATCGGTGCGATAATTGGGCGATTCTTATACCGGGTGACCTGGTTACAAAACGTTATGTTCGTACTTTTAAAGGGCCCCGCATGTAAGGCCTTCTTTTCAAATATGCACAATGCTAAACGAAGCTAGACTAATTTTGCGCGTTAACTGAAATAATTGGTAGCGTATGTAATAAGTAAAATGTTTGTTAGTATAGTACGTGTGCGAAAAAAAAAAAATATATATATATATGAGATTCTAATAATAATGTAATATAAATAACGACCCAACGCATACATAATGATAATACATGCATTTAGAAATTACAAAACTGATGATTACGAAATAATTTTCCGTGGGAAATGCAAAAAACGCGTATATGCTGAGTAATTAAATCTTTTCGCACTTCGCTCACTCGTAATTGGCTTCAGTTCGCGCATTAATTGCCGCGAGGTAATATGCGTTGTTAACGAGCATCGCATCGGACATGCACCTTGCACTTTGTAACGCGTATGCATACGTGCGCATGTGAACGTGCGAATTTAAAGGGCTCCGCGATGCAACGTCTATTCCAACTGTCTTTTTAATCCAAGAATTTCGAGAACAGTTGAACTGTGTAACATTGCTGGCGTAAACAGGTCCTATTTTGTAAACGAGAGCAGGGCTCTCTTGGTTTAAAACAGATAACATTGATCAGACAAAGGAATGTCGGAATTTAAAGTTCTGTGTCTATCTGAGTTTGGTCATTGATATATATGTATATGCAGAAGGAAAAGAGAGAAACATTATCTTAAATGCACTTTGCTTCTTCGAATTCACAGCAATCGATTGTCATCGGAATTACATCGAGATTCGAAGAATCGCCCGATAAGATCGGTCGCGTATGACGTATCGCGTATCAGCACAAAACTCCTGTCTTTCTTTTTATCGTTTTTTTTTTTTGTGAGATAACTGTGCCATTTTGTTTGTGTTCTTATCGAAGGCGTTGATAATACAATCGCTCTTTGACTAAATAAGCGCCCGAGAAGGAGAAAGCAAACGCGCGCGGATTTCCTTCGGGTTTTGAAAGTTGCCTAACGACGAGTTAATGTCTTTTTGAGCTACTCGTCGACGCGGCGAGACCCGTTATCTTTCCAATTTTCCGATGTTCTCACGAATCTGTCGCCGTCGCTGTGCGATATTTTTTTTTATCGCCTTCTAATACACAGCGATGATAAACAACAATCACACAGTCGTGCTTAACGATTGAAATTTTACCGCAAGAACGTTGATATAAAAATTAACTTCTCGATTTCCAGGTAATCTTCGAAAGTTTTTATCTTATACACTTTTTTTAAACGAGATTTTTGAATGCGATTTGATTGAATTTCTCTCAAATTTTTTTTGTCATATTTATAGATTCTCACAACCTCTGTTGCGCGCAATTTGGGACGTGCTTTTTCGATTTCACACACGCACATACACATACACAAGTTTGATATTGCGCGAGATTTCCTAGTCGGTCTGCAAATCGAACATGCTGGCGAATCGTTCGTTATCGTCGTTGTTAAACGTGCGCATACGAATGCGTTCGGGCACGATTGATCCGCGCTTCGTTTCGCTGCGGATTTTTTTTTTGTCGGACTGCATAATCGTCGCCGTGATGAACGATGAAACTGTCGGGGATAATCAGAAAGATGGTAGCCATCTTTTTGTACTTTAAACTCTGCTTGTCAAATATTTAATCAAGATTCTCGAGGAGCGATTCTTCAAGTCAGCGACAGGTCGATGCGCCGTTTAATCTCTTTTCACCGCGTAACAATGTTCGATTGCACTTTATAAATCCGAAATAATATAATAAAGATAGAAAATGATATCGATTATGTTTATGTTACACGCGCGTGAATCATAAAGTTACACGTAGATTCGGAGAAGGATTGAGCTTACATATTTATTCTTATTGAGAAATTAATTTTACACGAATACAAAATAGGTAGCTGTAATATATCTCGCACGTCTTCACACGTGAAGTATAAACTAAAATTATTCGCGTCAAGATATTATTTTTCGATGCAATTTTCTTTGAATTACACGATATTCTCGGAAAGGCATTTCTCGCAACTGTACCTTAGAATGTTCTCTTGGACTCTTCATAATGGTTGATGAATTAATTATTCCTTAGCTGTATAGAAGTCTGTGTGCCGAGATGTAACGTGTGACTTTAGAGTTTCCTTGTTTTTGC